GCACGGAAGGAACGTCTACCGCTGGCGTATGTGGGAAAAATTATGGTGGAAATATGATTTGCCTGGGCAGCCGCTACGGAGAAAAAGCCGTCAAGCAGCTGATCCTTTTTTCGGCGCTCCGACTCCAGGTGGTGGACATCATCCCTGAACTGTGGGTAAGCAAGTCTGCAGTCCACACACACACACACAGCTATAATAATACAATCCTGCAAGGTTGGACGGTGGGTCTAGGTGAGGTGTGCTGGGGCCATATCTGAGGTGAGGACTGTTAGGTTGTGACATCACAAAGTCACTGAAGTCCTGACAGCTCGTTTTAAGGCAGTTTCTGAGTACGGGCTACATGTGCATTTTTCAGTGGATTGAGTGTTTTGATAGTTTACATAGCACCTACACCTGCCTCATAATAAAAAAACATAGAAATCTCACCTTCTACGATATGGGAACTTTAACAGAAAACCTCAGGGGTGAATTAACATCAGACGAATGCCAAATTCCTTCAACAACATCCTCACGGGACAAAACAAGACTCGTCACCCTCTCTCTGAACTCCTTCCATATTTCATTATTAAAAACTGCTTTGCTGCTGCCTGTCGACAGTGTGTCACGGTGCAGTTCTGGTGTGTATACAAACGGACGACATCCAACAAAATTCATTCTACTGGCAACGCTCACCCTGCTCCGACTCCATACCCTGGGTAAATAAGGTGCTGAAGCTTCCTACTGCGAACCTGAACATTCAAGCGCTGGGAAGCAGTCTAACACCTAACATGTTGCTCTAGTTGGAGTGGGGGCACACTGGCTGGACCATTAATTAGGAGGAAGTCAGAGTGATGTTTTTCCACTCTGATGTGCTGCGTGAGACCTGATGTGTTATTTTTTTTCTGTTGTTCCAGGCACGTACAGGAAAGGGCACTCTGCTTTACCTCTCCTGTCTGTTTGTTTTTGTCCCTGCAAAATGAATGTGTGCGCTTATTCATTCACACTTGCGCACATTCATTCATTCCCTAACCCTTATCTCTCACTTATGCATAACTAAAAGCAGCCTCGGCTCAAAAACTCACCCGATCGCAGCCCTGCACCCAAGATCTAACCTTAAAAAATGCACTTCGAAAGCAAAACAGCCTCACTTTACAGGATTTGGCTTCCTATCCCTGCACACGCACACACACACACACACACACGCACACAGATACCTTGAACGGAGTGCTGAGGTAAAGTAACCTAGCAACTGCTTGCCACATTCAACAGGTTGTGCACAGAGGGAGGATACAAACAATAAACAGAAGTGGAAATGACAATGTCCTCTGCCTTCTATGGAGGCTTTATCTGAACCACAGTCACAACATGATCTGCACTGGCTCTGATGGCTGGAAGACTATGACAAAAGAACTGACAAGAAACAGGACTGACGTGAAGTTTCATGTTTCATACTGGCTGGGTATTACAATAACACAGACTTAAATCATTACAAAACAATGATTGTGACTGTACGTCGCTGCATGCTGGGCACAAAAACCTCATATATTTCAATAACTTGTAAGTCTAACCATCTAAAACTTAGCAATACAGTAATTCTGGAAAACACATGAAACCACATTTTCACCACTGTAATAAATACAGTATATTGCAACATTGTGACAGGAAAGAAATTTCTTTTCATTCCCTTTTTTCTTATTAACATGCCGACATTTGAAATTACTCCCATTGATGATGACATCATTAGCAATTATGCTGCAGAGCTCGTCACCAAGGTGATGTTATTAAACACAGACAAATGCCCGCAAGCACATGTTGCATAGATTGAATTGTCTGTACGCTCTGTAGCAGTGAGCTGATACGAGGCCGTACTCTCTGTAAGGACAGTGTGTTGTGTTTAAGCTTGTTTACCGTTTGTAGTTAAAGTTAGAATCCTCATGTTTTTCTGAAATCAAGTCGGTTGTACCCATTCAAATTATATTCAGTTAAATAATTCCCTCTCAATACAGTTGTTTTTATTGTTCGTAGCAGAGTCCACTATTCCTTTGCTGCATTCAGACTGCTTACCTAAGCACGGGGGATTCAAAGGAAAAGAATCTGGTGCATGAATCTTTACTGTTCACTCTCTTTACACCGTATCAGAGCTGTATTAAGTCGCTGCTAATGCAAACTGAACATTGACCGACTTCTTTATTGAAACATAGTTTGTTTGGCTGCACTGTAAACAGAACAGGCTGCTAAAGGACTTACAACAGAAACAATGGGCGTCTCCAGCAATTTTTTAGGAAAGAATTACACAAGTCATTTTGGCTCCTTGCATCAGGAGTTTTGCACACTGAAACTTTGTTGTCAAAGCTGAGCCAAAGCAACTGTTAAATACTATAAAGCATTTCAGAAATAATCAACATAGAAAACACTGTACATCATAAAAACAACTACTGACAATACGCCTTTAATTTCTGCATGAGTCACATCGTTTAGCCGTACATTTTATTCCCATGTATAATTGGTTAAATACTCCACTACTCCCCATGTAGTCCATTATATAGTGAATTTGCCATTTTGTAGTGCTACCTGAATGCATAGTGAGAATTATTATACCTTAATGCAGTGTACTCATAGTATCCCACAATGCATCCTGAAAAGTAGTGTACAACTGATGCACACCAACCAGAGTGATTTTGGACACAATCCATGTGATACTTCCTGCTGCTGCGGGGTCTGACAACAGAAAAAAATTGTCGGCCTATTTCTGAAACATCAATGGCAATCATTAGGTTTCGTTGTTGGGCTTTCAGAGTAAAAGCGAAAGTACTTTTTCTGGAGGCCTCAACCATCATACAAGGAAAAATCCATCATGGAAGTGGCACACACACCAAAAAGGACAAGAAAAGCACTGCAGCCAGTGTAAGAGAGGTAAAGAGGTGAATTCCTTCTATAAGCACATCCTGTAGACGGCTTCATGCACAATGCAGGCGGTAGAAAAAAAAAAAAAAAGTGTCGGGTGGATAGGAGACACCAAACAAAAAAAAAAAAGAAAAAAAATCAAAAATAAACAAGGCATGGGACAGAGAGGGTATGGAAAGGCCCAGTGTGGGAGCTGTCATGGCCGTTTAAGTGGACAGGCAGCCCTGCTGGAGCTCTGTTATCTGTCTGCTGCAGAGAGGCAACCAGCAGAGGGGGGGGTGGGGGGGGGGGGGGGGGGGGGGGGCGGCACGCACTGCTCTGAGGCAGGACACACACTGAGAGAAAGCTTTTTATCAGGCTGTGTGGTCTGTGGACAATCTCAAACTCACACGTCTTTTAATAAATACATTATCAGTTTAATCTCGTCAATTACTTTTTTAACAACACATTTCTCTTAATCATATTTCTTTTAAGCTGAATCTATTTTTAATAATACAAAATGCTGTCGGGTTCTTTTTTAAATGTATTTATGTCTCACTGGTGCGATACTACTAAAACTGTGTACACTATTCAAGCAGTTTACATTACTGGCCAAAGCTCGGAAAACTACCAGCATTGATTTTGAAACTGTGTACGCTTTCAAAAATCAATTTTACTTCAAAGCCTCTAATTACAGCCTGAGAGTTGATGCAAATCAACATTAATGAGCCAAAATGATACATTAGCAATAGATACAGCCAGACAGAAACCTCATTACCATATTGATTTTCAGAGAAACTTCAGAGGGACAATTGTCATGTTAGCATAATAAATAGATGTCAGGAGCCCTGTCCTTACTTCCTGCTCAACAGGTGCCTTAATAATACTTAATAAGCACGTGTCAGTGTTAATGATTATATGAGAGACAATATAATCTGGAGACATTACTCACAAGTGTGTGCAGCAGTACAACACACCCTCAGAGCTGCCTGTGATGGAAGTGGCGCTCATAAATAAAGCAGCACTCATCAGCATGAAGACATTATCATTAATCACGGATACAACAAGCTTTGCTTTGATTTCCATCTGAATGACTCTTGGTAAATTATACTCATGGCCTAAATATTTGAGAAAAACAGGGGCAGTAAATAACCTCTCTGCATTCTTGGAAAGAAAACAGAATCCCACACACTGTCTATCACTTGTATTCTACGTACTAAGTCACGACCAAACTTTTTTTTGAAATGGCGACCGGGCTGTCTGTGACAAGAAATGTAGTAAAGTCTATGGTTGTCAATCCAAACTGCCGGTCCTGGATCTCACTGTGAGACAAGTCCACTGACAGCTGATTTGGAGTTGACACCAAAATTCTGGCAGTGTCAGACTTAGGATCCAATTCTGACAGCAACAGCATTGAACGGTTTCAAGACTTTCTGAATGCACATGTTAGAGTATATGAAACACCGACGTGTCGATGTAAACAGGAAGCATGATGTCGACTCTGTGACCGAGGAACAGCAAGGGCAGTTGTACTGGTGGACGTGACTGACCCAGACCCAGAGAGTGAAAGTGGGTGTCTGTGTCATCGTTTCCGCCCATCCAGACTAAAACGCAACCCTGGAATTTTTCCAAAATTTTTTTCCCCCCATTTCCAGAAGTCTCAGTTTTAGAGGCTAAAAAACTCAGTAGTGTGGATGCCAGGTGTAAACATAGCAAAAGTGATGCATTTTAAAACTAAAACGTTAGTGTGGATGTAGCCTAAGGAATCGATAATCCACTCTGACTGAGCTTTGAGCTCATGTGAAGGAAAACATCTAAGAGTTAAGTGCTGCTTTGTTCCGCCTTTTTTAAAATCTAAATAATCACCACAGTGTTGTGTTTGAGCAGATTATGAAAACCAAAAGTAAAATATGGAGCATATCTCAATGCCTTTATAACTTGTTTAATATGAGAGTAAAACAAAGAATCCTGGAAGTTCAGTTTCCTACAGTGTGCAATGTGTAACTTCAAAATTAATATCACTCTCCAAACCCTGACCCATGGCTTTTCTATCTGTTTCTATTGTGCCTCCTAAGTTCTTGTATTGTATTCATGTATGAGAACATAACAAGCTGGGATGTTCAGTATTAAATCCATACCTCATGCCCTCAGTGGACTTGTTCTGATAATTGCAGTAGAGCTGTGGTGTGCCCAGCATTGCTTCAGCGAAGACAGCCAGGAAGCCCAGAGTCTCCACGAACAGCGCAGAGTCCAGGAGGAGGTAGGTGATGTAGGCCGCCACCAGCGTGAAGGCCAGCACACACTGCAAGTAGTCCACGAAGTGACTCCATGACCAGAAGTAGTTCCAGTCAAAGTCTACAGGTGCACAACATGGAGAAACCAGAAATAAGTCCACAGAAATGAATATTTTTAACAACTAGCCACTCAAGGGATTACAGATGAGCATTTAACCAGCTGGTCAGTATCGGAAACAGAAACAGAAACATTACTTGATGTGCTCTGTTCCTGTAAAAAATAAAGGCAGTAAAGCAAAGTAATTGTAAGAGACTACAGTAATGTTGCTCCTGGTTGGATCAAAGGACTTTTCCAGACATATCACAGTGGAAGACTTTCATTCCCAGCAGCGTTGGATGGAAAAAGTCAAAAGCTTGTGGTTGCTACAGGACGCAATGTTCACTATTTCCCAAAATGCAATTACATCAAATCTTGTTTTCCAGCACTGGAAGAAATAATTATCCACTAATCCTGTCTGTTCTTTTTTTTTTTTCTTTTTTGAGCTGTTATCTAGTTAATAAAAGGAAGCAAAAACTCCATTATTGTGAAAATTCACACTTGATCTGCGAGTTTTCACATAACTCCCACAACCCCCTTCTTATATTCAGAAAAAACTATATGTCACAGCTACAAATAGGCCATTCACACTGCGCACGATTTGGACTTGCTCTCATTCAGATTCTCGCAAAACAGAAGCTTGTAAATCCAGGGTCTTGAAAGAGAGCGAGAAAAAGTGAAGGTGATGAAAAACCCCCGAGGGAAAGTGACAGTAAGTTGAGGTAATAGTATTTTCCACCCAGTAGTAATAGGCTGGGTGGCAATCTGGACACTGATGAATGATTTAAACCCGGTTTTATGCCCTAACACCTCTCATGAGCTCTCTTTCTCCAAGGAAATGATCGGATAACGATTCTGAGCACAACATCACTGGCTTCCTGTAATAAGCAACAGAGCCAATACTAATCAAACTATGATAATATCTCAAAGCTGCAAAGTGTTGAATGCCTCAGGTTCTGATTTAACTGTGGCTGAAAAGGGGAATAAGCACTATAAGCAATACTAAGAAATCTTTACCTGTAATTTATACAATGCTAAAACATTCAACATATCTTCAGGATACAAGGGCTGTGACAACAGCACACCTGTAGCTGCCCGGTTTAATGTGAGAGCAGAGGACATTGGAAGAGTTAATCATGAAAATCTAATTATGGCTAAGAGCGGAAGATGTTGCTGCACCGCTGTATCTTAAATGGGAATTCTACAAGCCTCAAATACAATAGAGACGATTCATTCAGTCACGTTTAAATAAGGCTCTCCTTATCTAAAAGGCGCCTTAACACTCTGTGAGGCCAACTCCAGGAAAGGGCCCATACAGCAGATAAAGCAAATAAATAAAGTAAAATAAAAGAAATGTTTGGATTGACTTCACCACTAAATACATTGAACAAAACTGCTGTTCTTCAAGACTTTTTTCATAAGCATTTATGACATTTGAGTTTATGTTTGAATTAAATATTGTTTCATCAGAGAATTAGCAGTGACCGATTCTGACATTTAGATGGCATTTCTAAATGAATATGCATGGCAGGCACGTATGCGTGCGAGGCAACCTGGCTTTGTAATATTGAGCCAATCCAATTGTTCCTTTTTGACAGATAAGTTAAACAAATCCCATAAATGTAACTGAATGAATCTAAAAGAGCAGTTCAAACCAGGTCACAGCAGTCTGGCAACTCAACACCATACACCGAGTTTTGCCATGGCAAAATCTCACAACCATGTAGGATGGTAATGCAACGCAGCATGCTTTAAAATTTTAAAAAGGTATAAAACAGGTATCATTTCTGTTCTGAGTATAATCAACAATATCCTTTAAGAACTGTTATGTGTACTGTAAATCAGAATTTGCAGCCAGATGCCAAGTGTAACTGTGGCTCCACGCTGGCAGCAGTGCCAGAGGACCATGTATCTGGGCCAGCTAGCACCAGGCTGGTGCCTTGTGATAACAGCCAAACACAGGGGGGAAGCAATCAAGGGCAAGAGAGCAGCGTTCAGTGCCAACCTGGCTGCTGAAGGCCTGCACAGCTTTACACTAAACACATGTGATACATGTGATGTATGTGTCCAAGTGATGATACGACTGGGCGTGAGCTTAGACTGTAAATGCACACAGTAGTAGCACCTGGCAAAAGCTAACATTTGTTAATGCTGTGTTTTGTTTTGCTAGTCTGGTGGCTACGTAGCCAGCTAACAGTATGTTCCACCTAACTAAGCTGATTTATGTAGCAGAGAATGAGGTATAGAACAGAACAGTGTCACGTGTTAACATCTGACAACACATATTTGTCAGGTGTTAATTAATGCTAATGTGTAAATAAGCACCTGTTAGCTACCCTGTTAGCCGTAACGACTCCGCTGTGTGTCTGATAGCTTGTTTCAGAGTTCTTCTGCACCCAAATGGCGAAACAAAATGTTGCTTACCATTCAGATAATAATAAAAACACACATTTTGTGCATTTGCAAACAGAATAAAAGTACTGAAAATTACAACTGGCCTCTTGCGGATTGTTAAATTATTAACTCTAAAATGTAGCTGTGCTTTTAGCTGTACTCCATACAATGTTGGCTTGTTTAAACAAATAATATGTCATAGTTGTGATCTTAGGTTCTGAGATAAATAAAGTGGAGTATTAAATATAATTGGGATGCATTTAGATGAAGTCTGTAAAAAAAAAAAAAAAGAAGCAACTTGCTTAAAATACTACTGCATTTTTTAAATGTGGGTACAGAGGAAACCGCTTATCGTGATCACATCTGTCGCAAACTTTTTGACCCACATTAGCGACTGATCACTATAATTGTTTTCTACTGTAATTTCTTCCTACATTTTAATTTACTACATGTCACCTTGAAATGTATTGAGATATTGCTTTTGTTGTTTTCTTGACATTCCCCCCAGTTTCCAGGGCAGCAGAAGGATTTGTGGCTGGAGGAGAGATAATACATGAAATTTCCTCTGTGGTGGAATTAAATTTTTTTTTTTTCATCTTGCAACTTAATTTGGTGGCTGGGGAGTCTGCAAGGAAGAAAACATCTTTTCTCCTGAACACCTTTGCCTTTAACAAAAAAAAAAAAAAAAAAAAAAAAGGCATTGTGAATATGACATGCTGTTCAAGTATATGCAGTCCTTGTCTCAGCCTCATGTTTCAGTAATTACACTCCTTCGTGCCAGCGCTCAACTGTCATCATCTCCTAATCTTGTATGTGCAGACTTTCCAAGACAGCAGCGGGCGCATACACCTCCAATTCTGAGTAATTTTTTCTGTCAGAACAGTATCTTGTGAGCAGAGCAGTGTGTCACTTCATTTCACACTGACCACGAAGGGGATGCGTATCACAGCACTGTACCTGAGCCATACCCTGCCGTACACCATCTCTTGCTGAGCCACTTGTATACCCTGCGGCATTCTCCTCCTCACTCTTTAATCTCTGCACTGTGTGGCAACGGCGGTGGCGCTGTGTGGGAACAGACTGGAGCTGCATACAATAGACTCCCTGTGGTGGCCAAACATCTTGCATGCAGCTCAGTTTGAAGACCCACAGAGTCGTGGTACATGTGTAGGAAGACACAGGTCAGACATGGAGATTTCCAATGCTTGTTTACCAACTGTTCCCAGTTAGCTTCAGTTAGGCCCTGGAAAAGTCTACGGGGGGAGTTGAAATAATGGCTTGCTGTCACTCAAAAGCAGCCGTGGGAGAAACAGGAACATTACTATGGAAGACAGTTATAATGACCAGGGAATTTGAACCTTGGATTTCAACAGGCTTCATTTTCTGAAATTTGGACTGGGAGCTTTGTCAAAATGATTAATAGGTTTTCACTGCCAAGCCAAAGCACTGCAACGTTTCTGCACTGCCACCTAGACTAAATGCTATGTCTCTTCTATAAAACGGACTCAGGGTAAAAGTGAGGCCTCTACCTCCCCTTAGGGATCAGATAACTGCACCTACGGGATAAGGTGATTTATTCTGAGATGGCAAACCCAATGAAGCCACAGGTACCGACGCCCTGTGGGAGCAGAATGACTAATGAGTCGTTACAAGACCGTAGAAATGAATTTAAATCTCTTATACTGCCATGTAGCTCTGTAACATCATTACACCAACATTTATGCGGTACAGGACCACTCAAGCATTGGTGTAGTGCTGCCAGAGCGCACTGGAATGACTCTCCGCCACTTTTTTTCTCCAAGTGAGGAGACAGAATATTCACAGTTCAATAAATCCACTGAAATTCAAATACATTTCTTTAAGCGCTTGAAAATCCAATCATCCCTAAAGTGTATGCCATGCAAGAGAGCCACTAAAAACAAATGGATTGGTCAAAGCTGTCATAGAGACTTTTAAGGTGTATTGATGGATTCACAGCGTCAACTCATGCATTGAATAACATGCAAGAAAACACTCAGACAAGTTAGAAGTTGCCAGCAGCTGTCAGTGGCCTTTGAACGGCCCAGTTAACTAAAGTATTCTCTCCACCTAAATATTGTTAACTAGTAAAGGTGATTTTTTAATTCATGTCCTTTGACTTGGACATGGAGTAAAAAAAAATCTGTAGCCCTGCAGAACAACCAGACGAGATTTCACAGTAAAATTTGGTGTATGTTCTATCGTTACTGTTTCGAGTGACACGGTGAGTTTTGTTTTGAGTTTGCTGTCTTTCTTAAGTCGCTGTTTTTTAATGACAAATACAATGCTAACATCTAAGCAACATCCAAGTCTAAAAAGACGGAGACAGATTTCCACAGCTGCAGAAAAACACAACATTATGGTAGAATAAAATTTTATGAACTGCTCCCATTGATGTGTCCTCTCCATTGATGTTTCCCTGTTTCCCAAGTGTACTTGGGAAGTACACTGACTCTCGAAAACCCTTTGAGAGAACTTTTGGGTTTTTCTGTGAGAAATGCCTCAAACAAACGTTGCAAAGGTTTTCAAGGTTTCACAAAAGTTTTCCTAAAGAATACAAAAGTTCTGCAAGATCCTGCTAAAGTTGATCCTTTTTATTTTTCTCTAGTTAAAAAATATTTTCCTGTGCGTACAATCCTGTGAACTTTAGAGGCGGTGACAGGAATAAATGCTAAAATTTCAATTCACAGTCTATTTACAGCTGTAAAATAATCTCAAAACCTGAGATTAACTGAGCGGAAAGTGAATGAGAATGTGGTTTTTAAAGACAGAGCTTGTGCCTCTTGGGAATAAACAGGCAAAGCTACCCGGGAGTCTGAAACCGCAGGGGCCCATAAGTTTGCATAAAAAAAAATTCAATCATGGAGCAGAGCCTTGTTTGACGGTTTGCTTGCTCAGACAAATTCATTTTTATGCTGTTGGAGATTTGAAAAATCTAATCAGGGTTTCCTCTTTCAGGCCTTTCAAATAACTAAAAGTAAAGTTTAACCCAAGCCCACATTACACATAGTGAAACTTTCCCTACTGTCACTGCCAAAACTTTTACCTGAAATATTTCATCTTACTTTTTCCCCCCAAACCCTTTTACCTCCACCTGAGCGATCACCAGCATGTCTGATTCTGACACAGCCAAATGATCTGATCTTTTAATCTCCTTAAAGGATTGCAGCAGGCAGTCTTCCATATAAATCACACTGAGCTGCTATTACACCAGGATTTATCCCCTGTCTTGGACCTAAAACTACACATGCTACAAAAGACTTACTGTGTAGCACAGATATGGCCATTAGTAGTGACCGTAGGCTATTTACAGCACCACAAACGTTGTTCCTATGTACACTCTCAGTTACAGGAGGTTATCTAAAGCTGCCAAATTACAAGGTACAATGTCTTTACGTGAAATGCTCACAGCTACTCATATCTATTATAAGTCGTCCTTATTTGGGCATCCTATGAAGTTCTATTAAAAGTAAGCTGCATTGTGTTTTTCTTTCTGAGTACAAGCGTCCAGCTGTTTGATAGAAGTGCCTGGTGAGATAATGATTCTGTGCAGCTATGAGAAAAAAAAAAAGTGTTATGATTAAGGCTCAGCGAACATAAAGGGAACAAACTGAACAATCAGAGAAATTTGTCCTGCCGACTTAAAAATACTATGGTGTGTCCCTGCAGAAAGTCACAATGTGAAGCTGTTCCACCTGACAGCTGCACACCGACACCAGTTTGATGCTTGATGTTTCTGCACATTGAGGATCTCTATAACTTGCCTTTTCTTCGCAGCATCTCTGATCTTGCATCAATCTAACAGCCCTGAAACCGACCGCAAATGCTCCAGTGAAACTCTGTCTAACCAATCCACAGCTCTGCTTCACCCACCGCCACCTGTCTTCCCTTTCTCTACCTGGGTGTTTTAATGCTTTCTATCGTGGAGTACAACATGCTCACCCTTGATATTTCCTCTAGCAGATCAATGAGCAGGCGCACACCAGCAAAGCTACGATCAAAGAACATGACTTTCTGTCAGGTCTAATGACTCTTGGCAGAGCTCACTGATCGATGGCCATCCGGAGCCAGCTTCAACATGTGGGCAAACCGAGCCGGCAGCACCACACCTGGGCACTGGAGACAAGCAAATACCCTGCTCCTCCTCTGGTGCCTCTGACCCACAGAAAGCCACAACATTGGTGAAACCTGCTAACGCTTTTCTGTTCTTATCTTAAAATAATTGGAAACATCCAACAAAAGACTACAAGATAGCTCTTCCATACCAGTTTGCGTTAACTAGTCCCAAGAGGAGAATTTTTTATTATTATAACACACTGAGCCCAGTGTACTGTGCCTTTTCACATCATGCAAATATTTGTTTTCTACTGCCCTCTAGTGTCCATACCAGGAACAACAGCCTTTTCTTCAGTAATGTTGTTTCCCAAATCCATAATGCATCCACTATATACTGAGCTTTTGACTGTTTTAGTTTTTTGGAATATAAAAAATAAATATATTTTACAGTTTTATACAAACAGGAAATAACACAACACATGCATCATCAGAAACCAAACTTCAGAAAGCCACTCATGACATTTAACAAAAAAAAAAAAAAAAAGTTTCAGCTGTGAGTACTCCCTTGATGTATAGTATTATGGTTCAGGAGTCAATAGCAAACCTAAAAATACACAACCATTATGTTTTTAGTAAACATAGTGACATACATAATCCAAAGCTGCTTCGATATAATAAGTATGAAGTCATGAATTGGGGCACAGCTTAAGAATTTCAGGTCAGATTTCTTTTTCATTCAAATCATGTGAAGCTTTGCCTTTGTAAAACCGGGGAAGTTAAGCTTGGTATGTAGTGTAGCTGAGCCTCTTCAAGCAAGTTTCTCTACAGGATCAAACGTGACTGCTGCACTACAAGCCGCCTCTCAACGTGCATTTTTTCACTGGAGACATTGTGATTTGTCACAGCAGGAAAACCACAGATGTAAATAATAAAAAAATAAAGATGGCTGAATTCCATTTAGCTGCTTCAGGGTCCTGGTATTGTGCACGCTGCCTCACTGGGATATTAAAAGAACGGAGCCACGGTTAATGGTATCAGTAACAGTATCTGTGCTTTTCCTACTGTCACGAGTGCTGTGAAAAAAGGCCCGTGAGCAGCTGACGGAGAACACGGGTTGTGATGTCACTGACTGGGCGTGGACAACTGAAGTGCAACATTAACAGCCTGAACCCAAAGTGAGCAGCACAGCAGATTTCTGCCCTATGGTAACTAAATAATAAGTTGACCAAAGAACAAAACAGTGTACTGTCTTACTTCCTTACCTGTTCCTTCTGAAGATGTAAATCTTTAAAAAACAGGTCACACACATAGTTTCAGTGATCAACATCCCAAAACGGCTGGAAACTATAGTTTTTATCAAAGGTTACTCAGACAGCAATAAATAGTGAATATGTTGGGGACTATTTTCAGCTGCAGATTAATATGCATTATGTGCTCTAGTGAGTGCTCACAGCAGCAGGATGGTGTATGTGGAATTAAATTAAACTAGAGTCCCTAAGTTTATGGTAATGAAGGAACATGTGAATCAGTGTGATCCACTGATGTGTTTTCAAAAGTTTATGAAAATGACTGCAAACTGAGCTTCAGTGATATTTTGACCGCTTAGCCTTTCTCAAGGCAAGTTTAAAAGTTTTAAGACAACAATGGAGCTCATTAGCTTATCTTATGACATATACACTGTCATAAGATAAGCCCGTCTTTGGCATCACAGGCAAAACAACTCATTGTTCATTTAGATCTTTTCATGGGATTTGTTGACAATAAAAAAGAATATAGAATATCACAAACCTTATTTTTAAATCAGACACCAGCAGGTTTCATGTTTAAAGTTCAATATCCTCTCAGAAAGATTAAAAGGTAAATTGATCATTTCAACAAGCTCACACTATTGGTGGAGAAAAGACAAAATCTGCCTTAAAGTACAGATACAGAAACAAAGACTAATAACTGCAGTTTCTCTGCACATCCCAAACCACAGATTTCTTGACTTATCAATTGTAAAAGAGGTGAAACCAAGTGTAGTTCAAAGAACATTTAAAAAGCCAGTTAGAAGGCAACACTGATTAAAAGCCATTAGCAAAAATCAGGCATTACATTACATTCATATTTCAGGGCATGATAAGATAAGCATGCATTAGTTTAAGGGTCATTAAACACACATAAAAACACATTTGGTTTGAGAGCTTATATCAAAAACAATTGTTGCATATCACACCGTAAAAAAAACCCAAGAAAGTTAGAAAAATTTGAATTAGAAGATGTCAGTAAGTGGTTTGAAACTGTACTATCAACAGGTTAGTCCACTGTAAATCATTGATTACTAAAGACTAGAATGAGTGAGTTCAGAACACATGAGCTGTTGATTTCTTCCTGGACTGTCATTTCATAGAAATGGCAGGTTTAAAGGGGCTATTTGTAAGTTTTCTCTGCTGCCAAACGTGGTTTCTTTCTGGGAGCGGTTGGAGTTAATTGTCACTTGACAAGAGCTTCACCAATCATCTTTAAAATACAAGAAATTATGATACGCCCTCTGAGCACCACTATGTCTTCAGGGAAGACTGGAGGCCACAGTGAGTTGCTATTGGAAAGTGACAAGACGGGTCGAGGCTAGCTGGTTAGCATGCTAATTTCAGCAGAAGACGTGATAGAGACAAGAGTTAACATTGGCGTTGCTTTCCACGTCTGGAGACAGCTCTTGGTGAGTAAAGGAATGAAGGTTGATGCTGAGCGTTTCTTCTAGACTGGTGAGTTAACAGCTGTTAATGCTAACGCTAGCTATATGGCAATAACTTACAAATAGCTCCTTTAAGCACAAATAACATGCAAAATCAAATCCACACAGGTTTTTCAGTGAAAATGTATCTGTCACTTGTACTGAGGGTGTGTAGGGTAACATGCACTGAAAGCATCACAGCAGTGGCTACAATGGTCGGACAGTGAATGTGGACGCAACAGCACGACAACATGTTTCATCTAAACATGTTGTAAATGTTGTTAGTCATCGTCAGTTAGTGTCGGCTGGACTGTGGAGGGACAGCCAAGCCGGGTCGCCATGCATGAGACACGGAGATGGAGGGGGACAGGCAGATGAACTACAACTGATGTTTCATGGCAGACACATTAAGTTCTGTACATACCCAGAAAGAGCCTCTTAGGGATTCTGACCTCCTCGTCCTTACTGTCTGTTGCTACAGACAAAAAAATAAATAAAAAGGACAAAAAAAACATGGAAGAGAGGGAAAGAAAGAAAGAGCTTGGTTTTCTTCATTTTTTTCAGCAAAGCCAGAGCTGACCCCTGATCAGTTACTGAATGTGGGCATGACTTTGTAATACTCTGTGACATTTGCTCAGACATTTCAAGTCATCATGAGTAATTGGTGACACTGCAAAACTGCTGATTGTCTGATTTCCTGATTAGTTACATCACTGATTATAGAGCATTTGGTATAAAAGACCATAAAAGGGCAGCAGTTCCCAATGGCAGAGTTTTTGCAAGCATCCTGCTATCTTTGCTATTAGCCATGTGGCCCAACATGAACACCAGATCTTCTTCAAGAGATTTCTTTGTGTTTTTTTTTCCTGTGCTATTCTTAAATGGTCCGAAAGGGCGGGGCTCAGTTGGACCAAGGTGATGTCACATGCTTCAGTGCACCAATGAGAATTCAGGATGTTTGCTTCCATCTGCCAGTCGAGGCAGACGGCCGCCCGTCATGAGCCGGATTCTCTTCAAAGTTTCTCCCTGATAAAAGGGAGTTTTTCTTTGCTACTGTCGCCAAGTGCTCCCCGATGGGGAACTGTTGGATCTCTGTAAATAATAATATGAAGAGTATCGTCTAGACCTGCTCTACATGAAAAGTGTCCTGAGATAACTTTGGTTATGATTCAGTGCTGCATAAATAAAAACTGAACTGCACTGAATTGAACTGAATTTTTCCAGGCCACTGTCAATCAAACCACTCCCCACACAGTCCTGATGAAGCAGATGTGCTTCAGTTTTCATAGTTAACTCATACTAAATATTACAGTAGGATTTTATTCTTTAAACTTTAACTTGGCTTATTTAATCATGAACATTTAATGCCATCAAGACAAACTTGATTTGAGCTTTCACAGGCTTGGAAATACCTGTCTTCACTTCTGCTGGTCAGTGTTTCCCCTAGATTGGCTGCTTTGCTGCACGTACTCTCAGGACTACAGTTTCCCTGCCAACAGCAGCAGAGCTGCTATCATCCTCTTCACTGTCGCCAGATTGTGTACTTTTAAAAACCGGGGATATTTCTGGCCTGACCTTCAGACGGTTTGGGGTTGACATCTGTCCATTTTTGGTTTTAGAGGGATTTATAACACTTGTTGAAAAGCTTTGATTGCACTTAATAACGAGTTCTCAACCTGTCTCTCCTCTGCTCTGTGTGTGTGGAGGTCAAACAGAAAGCAGAGGAGAGAAGCGCAGAGACTCACACTGAGCTGAAATGCAACAAGAGCACATAAATTAGGTAATTAACATAAATAAAATATTCTGTTTTTTTAAAACTTTTTTCCCCCCTTTGGTTTCTTGGGGGGGTGGGCTGCATCCCAAGGCAACGGTGGGGGAAACACCAGCTGGCAGCATGACAGTGACTTCACAAAGTTACTGCTCTCAGCCAAGAAATTGTCCTGAACACAACCCCACATAAAACTAAAACTTAACATTTTACACTTCAGTTTTCCGGGGATTAAACAAACAAGATTATAACATGTTAGTGAGCTTTAGAAGTGCAGGTGGGTGGGTTCTGTTACCTGCGGACAGAGCCAGGATAGCTGTTTACCTCTAATTTCATTCTAAGCTGAGCTAATCAGCTAATATAGCTGCATATTTTCAGACAGACATGAGACGTTCTCATGTAAAGAAAGCACCTCAGCTGCATGTTAGTTCATTCAACCATCTGTAACATTTGAAAACAAATGTTAGTTTTTTTTTGCTGCACTTGTGTCGTGACTCACAATGTCTCAATATGGCTAAATGACCTAAGGTGGCATGTTTTCCTCTTTGAATGGAGAAACTATTTTGTGCTTTCTGTGTTTGTTTAGTTTCTGTGATTCCAGAGTTCCCGTTCGATTCCATTTTGCAATCTGACACTGAGCCTCTAGATATTTATCACTCATTTCTAGCGTATCCTGCCCTTCCCTGTCTTCAGACGGCTCAACATCCCGTCCTGGAGTTATACAGTATGCATGATAGAAAACCCCAGCTCTGATTACAACATGTGACACAGCCTTAAAACGCATGACTTATAAAACAACTGACGGCTGTTCCCTATACACTTGTGCACTTAAGGATGTAAGTTGAACAAATAGCATCTGGTGTTTCAGCATGCAGGTTATTGAATAACTTTAAAAGACTGAGAAAGTAGATTACATTAGGCAGCAGTGGCAGTGGGTTTTGAACTGCGGACATTTTGGACAATTTTCTTAAGGGCGCATAAGAGTCAGACACATTTGGATCCATTATTAATATCTAATTTGTAATGCAAGTATTAGTATTAAGAGAATTGTAAAAAAAAAAAAAAAAAAAAAAAAAAAAAAAAAAGAAGAAAAAAAGTTCTTTCTAAAACGATAACTATTTTTATCTTACTAAATGTACTCTGAGATATTTCATAGTCAATAAATTAGGTATCTATCACCTTATTAGACAGGTACCTGCCTACTAATTAAAATTTGGAAATGGCAAGAAAAAATGTTGGGTAAGATGGATATGATCATTTTAAATAGCTAAATAACAGTTCATTTAACAGTTATGTATATTAAATATGTGTTAAAACAACAGTTAAACCTTTGTAGTTTGTGTTTTGCATTAAGGTGCAATATGATACCAAAGTTATTTGTTTGTTTTGAATGACCTGCATTAACAAACACGTCCCGCACACCATTCTGCAGCCAGCAATCTCCAGTGTAGTTAAATGGCAACACTTTTCACTTGTGATTATAGTTGCAGCACTTGTGCAAGTGTTGAAACTGGATTATTCAAACGTGACCAATTTAAGGAGTGGTCCTGTGTAACACTGGGCAGGTAAGGTGACCTGTGAACAGCATGCTCACACTCTCTAATGCACATCCATTCACACACTCACACATTTCTTTCAACGATCACGCATGCACCTGCCTACACACACTCACCCTCACTTGCTCTCAGGTATTTTTAAACACAATCATATCTCTATCACACGTTCTCTCTCTGTCGCTCATGTACACACCCACACATACTCGCTCTTTCACTTCATACTGTAGGATACACTGACACATTCACTCACACAGTGCAGATGTAACTGAGTTTTATTTGCACTGTAAAGAGGCCCTGCAGAGGATTTCTGACCTATGAAGGAGCGCCTCTTGGTGTTGAGTTCGGTGGCCATGCGGACGTTGGTGCAAAGGTTCAGCATGATAAGCATGGTGGCGATCATGATGATGCTCTGCCACAGCAGCAGCGTCTCGAAGTAGCGGCCAAATCTGAAGGAGAAAAACAAGAAGAATGTGTAAACTTGCAACAATATTTAACATAACAAAGCTGCACTTGCTTCTTTTTCCTGTTTTCTTACAGTATCTGTGGCGGTACTCAGCCGCAGTGTGTGCAAGCTGTCTTTTTATTTATAACTTAAGAAGATGTAGCAAATATCACTTTGTTTACCCTCGCCAGGATTATCTCAGTAGGGTCCCTGTGGCCAATATGGGCCCCCACAGTGTTTCACCCACCAGCTGCCTGAGCAATTACATTAAGTAAACAACAAAAAGTCAGATAGCTGCAGTAGATAGCAGTTTGTTCTTAGGGAATTTACACTTAGGAAGGGTTTTTTCAGGCCCCTGTATTCAGGGAGCCCCAGCCCAAGGCCGATGTGCTGTTACATAGCTGGTTAAAACTCAGACATAACTTAATAGGTAAGATGCAATCATCTCTTTAGGACTACTCTAATTTGACATACATACTCTTGATCAAATTCTGGTACTATGACAGGTGGCAACAAGAAGTGAGAACCAAATGTGATATCTAAATGCTATACAAGTTGCTAAATGGGTAATTTATATGCTGAATTTCAGAGAATATCGCAATGATTCTTGAAACACATCAAGTCTTGTTCTGCAATGTATATACTACGGCTGATACCCAGTAGAGCATTTAAGTGGCAGATTTTTGAATGATGTTTGGTCACTATCCAACAGAAGTTTGTCTGGCGTTAGAAAACATCCAGGGAGTTATTTGTTACCTGAATAGTATTCGTAGGATGTTAGCTACCAGGAGGACCAGGCACACATAGGTAGAGAACCCCTCTGCATTCTGGGTCCGGCGGATGTCTCTGTACTGGGGGATGTACGGCACCACCCCACCGAACACCATGGCACCAGCAGCGACCCACGACACCAGTTGGTTAAACACGGACACAATTTGGTCAAACAGCTCATCTTCCATGTTCAGTCGCTGCTCACCAGTCCAACACCCGGGAAAGAAGTTACACAGTGATGTCAGCTGGCAGTAGCTGACTCTGTGGAGATTGTTATACGGTGTTTATCCTCCTCTGGTTTCTTGCAGCGAGTTTGAGAGGGTGAAGAGAGAAACATCCGTGTTTGCTGTGCATACTCCTTTCACGGCTCATGCAGACAAAGCAGCGGCTACTGCCACGCCATCACAAGCAGAGCAGAGCATCAGAGACGATGAGCCTAGGTTAACGTTACAGTAATCGCTACGAACAACTGAGCTAACAATGACAACATGAATTTGTTAGCTACTGTACCGACAAGCAACACAACAACATCGCTCACTCTCCGGCTGTAGCTGATAAACTGATTCAACACTTCTTCTGTTGATGCTAGCTAGCGCTGTTTGACAGGCTGCACTTAACTCAGAGGAAAAACTCCCAGGGTTCCTGAAACTGTATTAAAAGCCCTTGAAACTGACAGGAAATTTGAATCAAAAACTATATACTAGCGCAGCGTCCTTTTACTACAACTGTTTCCTGACTGACTGGCCCATATTCAGTGTTTGATTGTCTTCCTATGGTGTAGCCAGCCCACACTTCCGGAAACGTCATACGTCACGCGCCCCAACCATGGATGGTTCAAACAAAGATCTTCTTCTTTTGCTTCCTCTTATTCTTCTTCTTCTAACATTGACTTTTCTCGGACTTTTCTCTCTACTGGGAAAATGTAGGCTACTGTTGGTATCTTCAGTAATAATAACAAACCAAATTCATCCATTTTATACCTTTGTGTATAGTATTTGAAAATGAACCCAAACAGTACATTAAAACTATTTTTAATTTAAAAGAAATTTATTTTATTTTTGTCATTCCCCCTTAGTGTAGGCTACTGTTGTTTTGTGTGTATTAATGACTTCTTTATTTATATGTGATTGTTTTGTCTGTATTAACAATTTCTGTGTTCTATGATATGTCTATTATCAATAAAGATGTTTAAAAAAAGCTGCTTCTTCTTCTATGTGGTTTTACTGTAGTTGGCGCCCTTTGTATGATCTTCCTCTCTCTGTCTTTCTTCCTTTTGTTGCACTATACTGTTTCCAAGCCACTCTGATTTTGAAAGTTTAATATTAATATACACATATTCTCTCCTGACCACCTCCTTCGTTAACTTGCCTGCTTTCTCATTTCCCAGGATTCCTGGTTGTGCTGGTGCCCACATGAATGTTATGTTTTCCCTGACTGGCTAGCCTTGAATTAGGCTGATCCTGTTTTAATGCTCGACAGTGCTGACACTGGGTCACTACAGATGATTGTTTTACGTCCTCTGATGTTCCCCAAACCCCAGTCTGTACAAAGCTCTATATAGTCACTGTAATTCTTATCCTTAAATCTGTAATACTGCTGAACAGCACAGCTGGACAAAATTCAATGTCATTAACTTTCATTTGTTCGGCTATGTTCTTGACTACCCATCCAAAACATGTCTTTGTACTTCCTTTGTGTCCCCTCAGACTTATCTTGTAGTTGGCCATCAGCCATTTCCTACAGAGCCAAAGTGGTATTTCTCCTCGTGCTGTTTTTTACTGCTCCCAAGCAAATCCTCAGAGCACGACTCTGAATAACATCCAGGTCTGACAGCACAGACTTGGCTCCTGAGCCTGAGGGCAAAATTAACTCCCAAAAAACAATAGCATTCTACTCTCTCTGGATTATTTCCATATAACTTCAGACTCATGCCTTATCTGATTTTCTTTTCTGTGAAGAACATAACTTTAGTTTTTTCCAAAGAGAATTTAAAACTCCATTCTGTTCCCCATCTTTCCACTTGATTTATTCCTTTTTGTAGTTTGTTAACTTTAAGTTTTACATTCCCTCTCCTCTTCCACAGAGCTCCATCAGCTGCAAACAGAGACCGTCCCATGTCTGACGGTAGATTTTCAAATATATCATCTATCCTGTCTTATAAAACTTCCTTGGGGCGTACCATTTACTGGAACATGTTTTTCCGAGAGCTCTGACAATTGAAGATGTTTCCCTCAATTCCCATGCAGTGTAGCTTGATCAACAACCCTTCTCTGCAGCCATTGTCTCTTTATTAACTACCATCTAAACACAGAACTGGATCCATTGTGCTCCTGGCTCTTTGAAATCCATTTTGATACGCAGCCACCAATTAACCATCCATTCCATCACTTTATAGATATGTGACGTTACAGCAATGGGTTTGTTGTTTCACAAGTTTTCCGATTGGACGTATAATTGCTTCCTTCCGGCTCATATAGGGATTTTCCTATCCTTCCAAACTTATTGAACAACCACGGCAACTTCTTCAAACTTCTTTAACTTAGTTGTTAAATCATTATATAACATATTCCATCTTTTCCCGGTGCACTCTCCAATAGTAAATGGGATATCTAATTCATTCTCACTTCTGTTCTATAGTTTAGTTTTTTCCCTAACACCTCCTCACTCAGCTCAGCCCCTTGTTGATTAATCTGTTCAATAAATACTGTATTGAGGAGAAACTTCCATTAGAGGAGGGGCCCTGTAGTGACACATCTTGAACTACCATCTTCCTAAATATCTGGGAGACACACCACTATACCTTTTGAAGTCCATTTTCGGGGCCTCTCTAATGATAGTGTTCAACATTTTCGGTGGGAGTGAATGCAGATTGTCGCAGACACAAAATCCAGATTATAAAGATTATAAAGGTTTAATGAAAGTTATATAACTCGCTCGGCAGACAACCTCTCATCTGTCATCCGTCACTATGATCCAGGATAATCTGTTATATAAAAACCAAAGCTTCAGTGAGGGGAGAAGAGATTATTCCTGCTCATCTACATTACACAGAGCACACAGTTATCTGCCAGAGAGGCCAAACCAGTCTACAAAGAGTTAACAAAAATGCTCTTCCCATATGCATACAAATCACTACGGATGTCAAAGTCAAGCCCGTCAAAGTAAGATAACACAAAACCGGAAATGTCGCAAAAGATACCTTCATAATAAAAAGCGTGCAACATATCGCGTGGGAAATGGGCTTTGAGGTGTTGTAGACATGAATCAAATAGTTAAAAAAAAAAAAAAAAACTATTTTATATAGTTATTGCCCTGGTGGAATGTCCTGTTAAGGAAACTTCACTTTCTGTATTAAAGACACCCATCCCAGCCTTATGATAAGATCAAATTCATTTCAATCACCAAAACTTAGAAGTAGCTGCAGATTCAGGTAAAATGATAAATCTTTACACCAAAACTACATTAAAGAAAGAAATTAAAGAAATTAATAAAAGAAATTGTCTCTTGGAAAATTTTGTAATATGTCATGCATCTACCTTTTCTGGGATATTTGACAATGGCTTCATACTGTGCTTATTTTGAGGACTAAGACATTGTGGCATATTTGTAAGTCTAAATCAAAATATTTAACCTTTCACCTCCGTGGCTGATACTAGTACAACTTTGAATTTTGTCTATGATTTACATGTATGTTTGTAGACAAATTTGGCCTAATATTAAATTGATATCAGTGTGTTAACTGTGCAATTAACTGTTGTGTTGGCAGTTCATAACAAATTACTCCAAATACGATTGCACTGGAGAAAAAAAAACAAAAACGTAGCAATGCCTTCGTAAAACGGCCTTTATTTTGAAAAGACGAGCACTACAAGCGGAAGTCATATTGTTTTTAGTCGCTCGACTCAACTTACGGCAAAGTTATGGAGTCGCAGCTGAAGCTACCGAAGGCAAAGTGAGTTGTGATTTTTTATCGTCGTGGTCACGTCCTAGTTTGACCAAACATACAGTCACAGTTCGGTGGAGTGGAGTCGAACAAAAAAACAAACAAACAAAAAAAAAAAAACGATGTCACAAACAGACTCCAAAGCAGCTAAAGACATGACAGAGGCGGTAAGTTTGTCTGATGTGAGCTAGTTGTGTGTCTTGAAAACAAGCCCAACAATGTTTGCTTAAATACTTTGTGAAAATACTGTGACGTGACCTGTAGATGGAGGAAACGATGCGGCGACTTCAAGGGAGATTCCAGGAAGTATCTGAACAGCTGGAGTCCAAAAATATCCTTTTATTTGTAAAGCTGTTTCCACGTATTTAACATCCAGGACTACATATCTCTAATGGAGACCAACCCCTTAGAAATTATGCAGCAAGCTTTTCTGGTACAGTGTAGTCTGTGGCGTTGAGTGGAAACGGTGTCCAGTTAGTGAGACGTATTAATCTAAAATGAGTCAGTGTCATCTCTGTCACATCTGGTATAAAGAAAGAATACAACATGCAACTTGTACAAAAAATTTAGTAGAAAAAAAACACACTTAAAAGACCTTTTTTAAAAGGATGAGATTGCGTGCATTATTAATTTCTCTTTAACCTGAGCATTCATAA